CCCCCCTTTAATTTATTGTATTATTATGCAAAACTTTAATTCATCGGAAAATTTTGACTATTTTGATAATTTCCTTTTTATTGACAGGTGCAATGATAAACTTCCGGAAGAAGCCATTTTGGGAAAAAATTTCGTTCGGAAGACCAGGTCTGAATGCACTATTCCAACATAATGCCTCAGCAGATATCGCACTGTATGATGACGAATTTGACAAAGACTCTGATAGTAATGTCGTAATTACTCCTGCTCCAGACTACGACACAAAAAGCTTTAAAAGTTTCAGAAACTTTCCGACTATGAAAGGGAGATCGAAAAAAATACGCAAAAGTACTGGATATTCATACGAATCTGACGACAATGAAAAGAAATCACATCAACGGAAACGACATCATCAGCACGCTTCAAGCCGATGTCGAAACCATTCTCTACAACGAGATGAAAGGCTTTTTGATAATTCTGATTCGAGTGTTTCTAGTGGATCGACTTGTAACACAGTGGATTACAGGGAAGAGCGCTCGAGGCAGAAAGCACCAAAGGAAAAGGGGTCTCGAATGTGGCATTGTTCACCTTCCGACGGGAAACGGACAAGAAAATCTGGAACGCGTTCTTTAAAGAAATGTGAGAGAGCTTCTGAATCGTCTCCTGTTTGTAATAGGAAAAACGAACGGGAAATTCCTTTGGAAAGGAGACATGTAATAGCTACCACTAAAACAAAGGGGAAAACCAAATATAGGTCGGAGATGAACCGGGAGAGGCAAGACAAAAGCTGGGACAGCTACGCTTCCGATAGTTCTCCTGAGAGAACGGGAGCTAATTTAACGAAAAACCGGAAACAAGCCAAACCCAAGAAGAGCAAGAAAATGTCATTATCTGACACTGATGTCGAAGACAACTGGACAATACGTAAAAAATCTGGAAAGCCATCTGACGGTGTGATGTTAAAGATTACAATGGACGATTTGAGAAATGTCTTAACAGAAAACGTTTTATCGGCGGTCATGCAGGGCATGGACGATGGAAGGGGGAAACAAAGAGTGCAATGTGTGTCCCCGGAAGTACTCACAACCGACACAGAGACACTTAATAGCGGATATTCTGCGGGAAGTGGCAACTCCACTGAAGCATTATTACCCCTCATATCTGGAAGGCGAATGTCATCTGCTTTTCAGCCTGTTCCACAAAGACAGTCAGGAATGCTGAAGCGATTTATTCCCGTACTTTCATCCTCGAGTTCAGATAACACGGGAATGAGTCGGAATAGTTCTGTGGCTACAGTTAAAACTCTCCTCTCGGGCACGTCCGACTTAGCCGACATGACAGCAAGGAGTAAAACTACTGGTTACGGGGGAGGCTTCGGGACAGTGACGGCAAACTACGACCAACTAGAAGACAAACTAATGACGCAAACTAGTTCCCTGCGAGGGCGTCACATGCGAGAACCTACGGGGGAGATATATGAGGATAGCATCCTCAATGAGGCGATACATCAACATTTTAGTGCTAAAGAGGACAGACACAGTTATTTCCAGGACGGACAGTCCAGCGGGAGCAATTTGTCTCCGAGGCTGTCGATGGACCTAACAGATGAACTTGGAAAAGGACCTTGTGGTTTGCAGGATATGAACGGACGGAGAATGAGTACGACATTTAACAGCTTTCAGAATGGACAATTGAGCAGTGACTCTGACCTTCAAAATATTAAACAAAGACGAGAGTCGATGCACCAAAATTTCGGGAGTGCTCTTCCTACCTGTTTTGACCATATGTCATCTCGGAGGCCAAGTTTGTGTATAGACACAGGACTTTACCATATAAATGATTTTGGTGTCCCTGGCCCCGCTTATTTGGCACGAAGGCGTCAGTCACTGCCTGTCAACCTTACTAGCTACCCGTATTCGGAACTCGCGACCATCGGAATGGAGGCTATCATGACTGCTACCGAGGCCAAAGTGCAACCTTCAAAAAAAGAAAAATCGAAGATAGAAAAAAGCTTATCGACGGTGCCAGAGGAAAGTGTGGATGCAATAGAAGACAAACCAAGGAAAGGTACGCGAAACACTTTATCTTCCTCTTTACCAAAATATTTTGGCAAGTTATGTTAAATGATTAAAAAATTTCAACGTGTTATTGGCTAAACGACACGTCACCATCGAGCTAACTGTATGAGAATTATACCATGAACATAATAAGATAATTATGAATGGATTAAATATATCGCAAGTCATTTAGGGCTAGGGTACCCTTAGAAAAGATTGAAAGAAAGGTAAGGTACAATTGATTAAAAAACATTTTTTTATGAAATTCTTTTTCAAGAAAGGTCGTTTGATATTCGAAACTCTGCAAAAGGTATTTTGTATCAACAATAAGTAGATGATTATTGTTTGCAATCTTATTTATAAAAACAAATTATAAGAATAGTATTTCGATCATACGGTTGTCATCGCAGTAGCTTATTATAGAAAGTAGAAGATACACAAATATTGGTAGATTAAAGGGTATGTACATTATGTAATAATCGTCATAAGGGTGGTGAATTTCATTTGTTCTGAAGAGTTCAATATTTAAAGCCATTCTATTTTCGTAATCCTTGCGTATTCAAAATTATTCAACAATGACAAACAGATGAATAATAAAGAAAAATATCCATTAATTTTGCATAAAGGAAGCTCTCATGCACTTGTAGGACAACATTTATTATGTATGGTATTATAAAGTTGTTATCCTTTAATCGTATATGATGTGCGTGCGCAAATGACGGTGTGCGTGAGCTCTAGCGCGCATGTGAACGTGTGCGAGCATGCGAAACATGGCAGCCAAACCACGCAGTTACACGCTGTAGACCGATAAACCTTTATTACTATGATATATAATAATTATCCATGTAAGTAATCTATAGATTTATTTTATCTTTCCTCTTATAAAACAACAGACACCCAAGAGAAAATGAACACCAAATCCACCAAAGAACTTTTGAAGAATATAAAGGAAACTGCAAAGGAGAAGAGGAAGTTCAGAGTGACTAAATCTTTAGCTCTTCTGTCCAGTATCCTCGTTGTGGTAGGTTCTTCATCAAGACATGTGTTACATCATCATTGATGTTACGAAGACACAGTCAATAAATAGATTCAATAGAATGGAAATGTTAAATGGTCCGTATGACGGCGCCATTCCATGCCATGCATTTCATCGGCTATTATGACGTTTCGACGTAGCTGTTCATTATATACAAGTTAAATCATGATAAGCATTGAGATGAAGTCGTCCTTATTATGAAAAATCTTCAAAAGAATGTTTCTTTATTAAAGATCAGGGTTTTCTGTTGTGTACCCAGTGGTTTTGCTAAAATGTATTTTGGTAAGCATACTAGTGCATGTTCTGCAATATGTATCTATTGCTGGTGCTAATCCTATATAGTAAACTACTATAGGTTTGATACAGATATAACACGAAACATCAAAATACATGTATTGTTGCCTCCCAGATGGCGGGTATTGGTGTATTGTGCTTGGGAATCCTCAACATGATGGACGGGGAGGCCCAGATGTACGTGGCTGTCACAAAGAAGGGCCCAAAAGACAACAGTTTTCAGTACTACTGTTACGGCCTCTGCTTCATAGGGGCTTCCGTACTTCTAGTCTGCCTCTGCGGCTGTATAGGAGCCTTGAAGATCAACACTTGTCTACTTAAAATGGTGAGACCTATTATATAGCTCGGTTCTCACACTTACATATTTCTTATTCAGTGGTAATAAATTATCTGTCCTGGATTGCTTGGGCGCAAAATATACGTACTATATAAATAACAACACCGTCCAATATGGTATATTTAAAATGTCTGCAGCATTTTTTTTTACATAAAACAGGTAAAACTAGAGAAGTGAAGTCAACTGTATTTCAGTAATTCCTGCGTGTGTAGGATTCTGACTGCCATGACCATTTCCATCAATAGTAAATATACCTAATTTAACATAAGAATAACCATACCACACGTTAGTTTTGGATCTCACTTTGTAGTTTATTGTGACTTTGGTGCTGCTGCTGACTCTCAATGGTGTCATGGTTACCATGGTAGTGGTATCACAAAAGGATTTACCATCTATTCCTCTTTTGGCGGCTGTTGTAGACGGGGTGAGTAGTTGTTTGAAAAAGATTTAACAAGGGTTATGTTATCTATTTGTTCTAGATTGCATAGGTGTAAAAATCAAGAGTGTTAAGAAAGCCATTATTTAAACTCAAAATCAAAAAAAAAAAAATGGACGAAATATGAGCAAAAGAAATATCTACTAGAAACCCTAGAAAAAGTAAAAAGAGAATAAGACCAGGTGTTCCAAGATAGTAAGCGTTTTCTTCTTCAACAGCGGCCATGCAAACATATAAAACCATGAATTCCTATGCTGTCGTATCAGGCATATTTAAAACGTGGAATGTAAAAGTTATTAATCAACATAAAATCTCAAAATATGATAACACCTGCTTTAAATAGGACCTGTGTATAATTACCGCCTGCATATAATTACCACCTGTGTAAAAATACCAGTTGTGCATAAACTCCCCTTGCTTATAAAGACAGGCGTCTTATTATTATAACTATATAAAACAACTTGCCGATCAAATGTCTAATTTATTTCACATGGATGTTCTTTACTGACATATTTGATTAGTTTAATAAAGAATATTCCAATGAAAAACATGATCCTACCACCAAGGTTATTATTTGTTTTCAACTGGAACTGTCACATCATAAACTCATAAATTAATTAAATCTTTCCCCACTGCGTGGTCCGTAACGTAAATGATATGTATAACGCATTCTGTAGGGAGTATATTACCAAAAGGATATCATTCAGACACACAAAAAAGCAAAGAAAATAACATTAATTCAAATAGACAAAAACCATTCAAAATACCAACATCAATAAGTCAGTCATTGGTTGCAACATATTCAAATACCACGTCCCTATTTTACAATGTTTATGATCTTTTTTTGTCAGTTCAATGATCTGTACGACAAATGTGGGTATTACAGGTGAAAGACGTGGTTCTGGACCACATGAAGACGAACCTGCGGGATTCCTACAAAGCTGGCTCGTTGGTGGCTCGAGCGTGGGACCAGCTACAGGTGCAGGTAAATCTTACCAGCGCCACCTATTATATATAAATTATAGAGGACACAACAGATTGTTTTAATGCGGAGTACACTGCCGGATGGTTACCTCAGATGCACGAATTTGTACTGAAAAAAATATGCCACTAAAACATAGTGTCTTATTTATTGTCCTCTTCATAGAGGGAAATATGACATGAAAAGGCACAATTTATGTCAAGTTAATTAAGATATAAAAATTAAAGTTTCTTGTAGAAATGGGATTGTAATAATTCTCTCTAGTTGGTATATTTCCCCTTGATAATACTAAACAATTTTGATGATTGATTAAGACAAATAGTTTTGGGAATAACTTGTTCCATAGTCATAATAAATCTATTAAAATGAATTAATCATGGCCACACACCAAGCTATTATACCCACCACGTTGACACTAATTGTGCTGTATTTGTAGATGGAGTGCTGTGGGTGTCAGAGTCAGAACGACTACAAGTATAGTGCCTGGTGGAACGTCACCTCAGACGTAAGCGTTCGGCGTAAAGTTGTTAACCGTTCAGATGTGACGCAGTACAATGAGGATTAATCGCTTAAATCATCAACTAGGATCATATCAGTTACTATTAGGCCTTCTTCTCCGATAAGTTGCTGATAAAATAGCTGTATGAAACACAACCTTAAAAATCTAGTTTGATGAATTCATTAAGATTTGGTTATATTACTGTTGTATTTGTTAAAAAACCGATAGAAAATGCTAAACTGTTATTGCGATACGATTTTCACTTTCAGTCTAAGACAAATATGCCAGACAGTTGTTGTATAGTCGCTGTAAAGGATATTGATGACCTCAAACCAACCAACAAATTTCTGTGTCAGTCGATGACGCCGGGATTCTGGCACAACACGGTGAGTTTTTATGACATTGTCTAACAAAATATAGGCACCCGAAATAAAGGTTCTATCCTTTACTAAAGACACTTCTTCTAAACACGTGGAAATAAGTAAATGGCATTGCAAAGTGCTGCTGAACAGTGGATGTACACAGCAGTTTATTACTGTAGATGTATGCATGTATGGTCCATTCCCTTTTACCGCTTATTTGAACTGTGGTAATACCATACTCTGTGGTATATCTGATAGACTTACAAGCCGTCTGTTTAACCCTTTCACCACTGTAGACCATAATGGACTCATCCAGATCGATGCATGGTAGAGTCTACTAAAGTTACATAGGGGTGAAAGGGTTAAAGTCTGCAACACTGCAAAACGTCTGATTACCTTACGGTCTGGCCCCGGTTGCTAGTTAGATTTTAAAATACGAATACAACAAAATCAATTTCATCTGATATAATTTCACTGCTAAAGATTGGTTGAGAAGAAAATGATTGATGTGTTTTATGGATTTGTTTCGTTTTAAAAGCCATTGCTTGTTATAGAGACAAAAATTAGATTTTTTCACTTACCACTGATTAAGGCTAACCACCCTTTGAGTAATCGGGCCTGCATGCTAATTGTATTGTGTATGTGTTTATGACTTACATGTATGTGTGCTTCTATAACCCTAGAACGACCATTATACAGGTACTGAAAAGCACTGTAGAGTAATTAATTTTGCATATTAAATAGGGCGCTATATAAATGTGACATATTATTATTTTGATAATGTGTCAAATGTGGTCCATTTTGTTGTAGGGGTGCCATGATGTACTTATGGTATGGTACAAACAAAACAGCGTCATGGCGTTCGGAGCCACCATGGGTTTAGTTGCCCTCGAGGTGAGTCCTTGTTTCTTTGTGCCAAACTTTAGGTTAAACACTGTTGACATTTCCGTAAGGTTACTTATCACTGAAATACACGAATGAATCTCTATTTATTAATAATGACAAATCCATCTTTAGATTGTATACCAAAGTGAATTAATCGATATTTAAGGGGTAAATCATCGAATGGAAGTGTTAAAAATGAGTGTGAAAAAACAACTAAAAAAGGGGAATGGGGAGGGGGTGTTCGGCACGGAAGGGGTTACCCCAAACTCGACCATTAAAATAAAATACAGTTCAAAATCGTAACGTTGGAAAATAGATGCACTAGCTGGTAGAGTATTGTTATTATACATGTATATTTCTGATAAAAATTGATTACTCTTGGAATTAAGATAAATAACCAGATTGGTTTACGTGACAGATTTCGGTCGAACTGGCGAGGACGCTCTACCACAGACAATTCTTTTCGCTTATATATATCTTATTTCAATGGTAGATAACGATAACGCCACTGCGTTTGACGATTTACTCTGTCCTGTCGTATCCGTGGTGACAATGTTTCACAAGTTTTTTTTTTTTTTTTTTTATACATAAGTGACAATAACACATGACTTGAGGCCATTAAATGATTAAAAGAAAAACAGGATGTACTTTTAGATAAAGACAACAGATTTATGTTAATGTTCGTATGATCCTACCGGCAATCACTCTCGTTTGGTGAAATGGACGCGATATATTTATTAGTTTATACATTAACAGGGGAGAACTGATGCCTGACCTGAAGTTGAAGAAATTGACAATTTAGAGACATACTGTTATAATACATAATCGAGTGAATGAAATACTGTAATGCGTTCAATCAACGGCTGTCTTTTATAAGAACTGAATAATTTCAATAAACGTTGCTAGGAACATTGCAGAGCAATCCGGCCGAGAAAAATAATTATTAAAGAATTCTACCTTATATTTATTCATACAATCTATAAAAGACTCTGCCAACGTTAGTGTTACGAGAACCAAGGAGACGAAACACTTTGAATGCTTTTTTTTGAATTTTGAAATTAGGAAGTAGGTCATACTTTCTTTTATTTCGATGTTAATTTTGTGTCGAGGAAATTTATCTTTGGTCGAAGGTTCGGTAAAATACATCATTATTACAATGTATTTCGGGCAAAACAACATTTTAAGGACTGGACAGTGACTCAACCAACCTTGATGAGGTTCTAAGAATTATGCAATATTTGATAGCTTTCAAAGACTAATGGGCAACAAAGCTTATTTTTTCTATGTCAATAAACATCCACAATTTGCGCATGCAGTGCATGTAATTCATGCTGTCATTTCGATATTGTTAATGAAAACAACTGCTTGATAATTGCTAACATAGAATGAGTGGACATATCAGTAGGTAATTCACATTAGTTAACAGTTAAAGTATGGGTATGAAGGATATAGCAAGTTCATGATCCCCCGAGGCCAGGACTATTTCCCGAGGCTTCGCCTCGGGAAATAGTCCTGGACGAGGGGGATCATGAACTTGCTATATCCTGAAATACCCATACTTCAACTGTTTTATTATACCGATACAAATACTCCCTTACAATATTCTAAATATTATTAGACAACAAATTTTCAACAGCTGGGACACTTTATTTATTAACAAAACTGAAATTGCTGACGTAATTCGATTGTGCTAATTGGTCAATATTCGGTCGGGCCCCGCTCCAGACGAACTATTTCCCTGGCATGAAGTTAGAGGGGAAATAGCTTTTTTATGTGGTTACTTTTGTAGAGTGTAAAATAAGTAGAGGTATAATAATTTATGCTAAAAGATTAATACCTTAGACAATATCATTAACAGTGTGATATTTGCACTAGTCTATCTCTTTAGTATAGGATTGGGACATACATGTGCAAATTTGGAGAGTTTACGTCACGAAGGTTTGCATCGTAGACTGAAGGTGAACACAGACTTCCATGTTATCGATATCTAAATTTCACATAGCAAAAACATTTGGTTTTATTGACGGAGTCTCCTTACGTGTGGCGGTATAGATGTCGTACTGGCAGATAAATGTGATGACAGACCGCTTGTTGAGTGAAGTGTTCACTAGTGTATATATAAAGTCACAAGTACCTACCAAACACAAGTGAAAATAAATACTATTTCTCAAAACTGTTATTAATTGTTTATTTGTTACATTAAAAAGGAAACAGGTGTACGACAGCAAACACCTTATAATAAGTGTACTGTAAACGTTAATCTAGTGGGTCCAGTACAATACATGTAGTGAGGTAGTATATATATATTAACTTGTCAGGAACAAAGTGACATAACATATTACTTATTATTTTGTCTAGGACTCAGTGTTATACATTTTCATATTACACAATGGTTAATTTATAACTCCCATAGGACATAAGTACCGTTATTTATTTCATTTGCTTCATTGCAAAAATCGACGTAGCTTTTCCAAACTTTATTTGGTGAAAAAGCATAACGCAAATTATCTGTAAAATAACCTATCGAAGGTCAGCGTATGTCAAACCTCTGCTGAGGCTAGTCACACAAAACATGTCATATATACAGTGCTGAGATAGATCAAACCGCAATAAAGGTTTGGTTCTGTTTCTTCTCAATATGTATTAGTGCCACTAAATGTAACTTCGTAGTCAACTTATGGGAGCCATTTAATCATTATCCGTCCTGAAAGCGATATTGTTTGGTCATCTCAAATTCACCTCAAAGTTGAAAGGCTTTAGTGATAAATTATTAAGTTGAATAAAATATTGTGAATACAAACGCGATTACAATATGCGGTACTGCAAATCAGAAACTGGGGTACTCGTCACAGAAATAGATAACTATCTCTCAATGTTTCAATTACATAGAACATTATTTTATCTTTTCAGATTTTGAGCCTAATTTGCACTGTCCGGTTATACAGAAGTCTAACACAGAAGACGGCGACCAGCGCGAGCAATATTTAAACGAGGTTTAACTATTGGAATACACTTAAAAATAACGTCGTTAACTATAAAAAATGAAAACATGATCAATATTACATTAATTTAATCTAATTAATAATGAAAAGTTGGCTATATTGATTTATATCAAATCATAATCATGGTTCTTACATTTTAACATAAAATATATTTTTGTTATAAGACATCATCATCATTGTATATATGTTTTATGGAATAAAATCATGTAAACAACAAATCTGATTAATGCTTTTTTGCTACGTAACACATTTACTCTACTATACAGCCAATTAGGACTCAACAATGGTACTGAAGTCAGAACAATATTCAGAAACATAGGTAAAAATACAGTGCCCTCACAACCCTTTATTCAGTTACAAAACATCTTTTCGCTTCAAAGGATAATCTATGGTTGAAATTAGTATTTTGTGTAAAAAGTTGAAGGATAAATCTTCGCTACAAGGTTACGGTCGACCTAGGGGACTGATAGTTTATGAGAAGTGTCAGCCACCTTGTTGTGAAAAATACGCCTATCTATAAACTTGATGCAGGAGTATTATACTATATTGTACTGTATCACACATGTGTTCTTTCCTACTTAATAATATTTTAAATCTCCCCACATAGCTATATCACAGAAATCGAATAGTATCTCATGTATAACAGATATGTAATTATCTCCGATGTAAGAGGTTTGTAGTTATCATCGGTTGGTAAATGAGTTGTGTCGATATCTCCCAGGTAGACGTTTCACTTTCAAATTATTTAAGAAAGACTTCATTTTTACAAAGAGTATTTGATATATTAATACCTAACCTGTATAACTGCTCCCCAACATGCATTCAACACGTTATAATTCACATAGATATTTCATAGAGGATCCTGTTTATGACAGGGTAATGTCTGTGGTTCCCAGGCCGGTTAGGCAAGACGCGTATCATCGTGTTATCGGTTTCCTCGCACTTAAGAAGCAATCGCGATTTGAAATTACGGATGACTGCCACAGACATGTTCACTAACAATTTACTAATAAAAACCAAAATCCAGCAACATAAAACAGTATTTAAAAAAAATTCAGAATAAACATTTTTAACAAATTTCTCTCGTCGGAAGTGGCCGTCATACATGTATGCTTCCGTGTGTCTATTTTGATTAAGTGTTCAAAGAAAGATAACTCGAATACACTAAAAGGAAGTTCTCCACAGTGGCCTGGCACGGACAAAAGCTTCGTTTGGAATAAAAGAAATTATCTTTGATCGTCAAATTAATCGTCAAAACAATTTTTTAAAAATTTCACATTTTTTATTGATTTTTCAATATGTCAACTTGAACGAATTCATGTAATTTTATAAATTTTATTTTATTTATTTAGTTATAATAGAATATATATATAATTTATTATTTTTTTGTGCAGTCTTATATAGGTTTTGGTTGATGGTAAGTTATTTCTCATTTTATTGTGTTTAAAATTGGTGAAAATTGGAAGTTCATTGCATTACAAGGTTTACGTTTCATTACAAACAGTGTTTATCGATATAAGAATGTCTCCTTCGGTCTTCGGAAGTGGAAAAAAATCGGCGAGGAGATGTCAATGAGTTGTGGATTTTAAAAACCGTGTGTATTGTCCAAATATGACTTGAATGCTGCACAATATCACTTTCATACTAAACAACATAGTACAAATACTCATCAAAAGTATCATTAAACAGTTGGCATAAAGCTACATGTAATTAAGCTTGCAAAAAATGGGTTTTTAAATAAATAAAATAAAAAACAATAGCGTCGACAACCAAAGAAAGAAGATTAAGACAACACTATGAAGTGTGGAAACACTAAACACAATACCATAGCGTCAACACTCAGGGCCATAGACAAAACCCAGAGACTCAGAAACACAAAACAAAGTACCATAGCGTCAACACACAGGGCCATAGACAAAACCCAGAGAACCAGAAACACAAAACAAAATACCATAGCGTCAACACACAGGGCCGTGGACAAAACCCAGAGACTCAGAAGCACAAAACAAAATACCATGGCGTCAACACTCAGGGCCATAGACAAAACCCAGAGACTCAGAAACACGAAACAAAATACCATAGCGTCAACACTCAGGGTCATAGACAAAACCCAGAGACTCAGAAACACAAAACAAAATACCATGGCGTCAACACACAGGGCCATAGACAAAACCCAGAGAACCAGAAACACAAAACAAAATACCATGGCGTCAACACACAGGGCCATAGACAAAACCCAGAGACTTAGAAACACAAAACAAAATACCATAGCGTCAACACACAGGGCCATAGACAAAACCCAGAGACTCAGAAACACAAAGCAAAGTACCATAGCGTCAACACACAGGGCCAAAGACAAAACCCAGAGACTCAGAAACACTAAACAAAGTACCATAGCGTCAACACTCAGTGCCATAGACAAAACTCTAAGTCAATAACAGGGATTTTGTAAATACGGAGACAACATGCAATACCTTCAACACCAGGGTATAGACAGCGATCTGGGACATTGAGAGGAATTGCGGAAATATCAGAACAAAGGAAAGACAATAAACCTCCAGTAAATTCTAAAGGCAAAATCATGGTTGTAACTTTAACATTCCAAGAAAACCAAGGATGAGATGATTACTGCAAAATGAATTGAGGTACGTATAATCAGCTTGCTCTTAAAATGTTTTAAAAAAATAAGACGACTGGAGAAGAAAAAGAATTTCTAAGCTGCAATTGAAAGGTGGGAGTTCAGTATAAAATATTTGTGAATATAAAAACCATGAGTTCATCATAAAACATCGGATGCCTATCAACATGAAAAGCAGCTCTGGTATGCAAACTAGCTGAAAACAAGTGACATTTTACAAAACAGTATATCCATCAGACTATGAAAGAGAAGCATTTTTATTATTATAATTTGATATAATCGCAAAATTAAAAGAAACAGATAAGACAAAAAAATTGTTTATTTCCGTAATTTTCATAATGTTAAAATAATACCATGGCATTGGTGGTAAAATCGCAGAAATCTATCATCTCTACTGGGACTCCATGAAAACTGGATTCGCAAAGATAATTGAAGAAATATACAGAAATATACAAAACAAAATAGTTATCACCTTTTCATATTTATCACATTCTCAATATAAAAGGCTTATTACACCGTTCAATAAACAGGGATGAGAGGAAATGTTGCTGGAGACGTATCACTTCACTCATTGTAATCTATGAAGTCGTAAATAAGTTAAAATTCATTAAGACTCCGTTTTATATTACCATATTCATGTTAAGAATTCACACTGGCCACGGTAAAATCATCAAGGATGGAAATATTAGGAAATTATTAGAATGATGTCTGTGATTATTGAATAAATATAGAAATAGGCGAGACATACATGTCGTAATATTCCTAGATCGACCAAAACCTTCTGACTGGTTAGAATAGGGTGGACTATAAAGACCTTAATGAAACCTTACCAAAACACTTTATGACAGGCCAATATCTGTTTTTGACAAATGGCATCATGCAATTGTTTGTCTGCACTTACAGTTTGCTTCCAAATAAACTAGTTCTGTCTGATAACTAACGACACCCCATATTTATACATTTTCCAATTTTTCGAAAGAAGATACATCCTCGATACTGCAGAGGTTACGCTCACTGTCGCTGTCGGCACCCCTGGAATATGGATGAAAATGGTAATGATACAGACCTACCTCGTTTGTATTGGATTCCGAAAAGTCACATTAATCCGTAGAACAACTTGTTGTCTCTGGCACTGCTAACTGTCCAATCAAGCTATTATCTTAACTTGTTACTATCAGTTTTAGTTTTAAGTAAGGGTTACAGTCGCATTGTGACACTGTATACTCCAGAAGCGGAAGTAGCGGAATGTGGAAGAATTCAAAAGATCGTTCGATCAATATTAATGTTGAGCATCATATCCCTTCTTCTATCATAACACTCAACTGTTTCACTATTTACACATCAATACATCGAGGAACACATTTGTTCTCTTAAAATTAGATGTTTTTTTTCTTGAAATGCGAACGGCAACATATATATTCTTGGTTGTGAACTATTTTGGAGCATATTTTGTGAAAAATACAAAAAGTCACAAATAAAATATACTGATGATGAAATTATAAGAATGATTGAGTTCCTGGTTTAACAATATTTTTGTTGAGTTCGGTGACAAGATTTTCCAGCAGACTGTATAGGAGTTCCCATTGGAACAAACTGCCACTAGTCTCTTCTGGCAGATTGGTTTCTGTTTTAATATGAGGCTCAATTTATTGACTTTTAACAATAACCTAGTCAAGTCCTTCACTATATCGACCATATGCTGTGTTTAAATGACAAGAACTGTATTTACGACGTCCATTGTATATACAAGCCTGGACTTTAAATCAATGACGCTACAGATTCTTCTACTTAAGTTTCCTCAATATTTACTTACAAAATAACGTACATGGACGACTTATACTTAACGCTACGAGAGGCGGGACGATTTTAGTGTTTACATATCGCAGAAGACACATACCCATCCGGAACACCGAGTTGTAGTCTCCTTACAAGTACTTCTTCAAGTGTCTTCATTCAAGCCATTCCTTTGTTCACATTATGCCCAGGTTTTATCGATTTTGAGTTCGAATACCCTGTTTGTTTTTGATATCCACGGGCGTGCTCCTAATATCACTACTTCCTTGATATGTGTCTCTCTCGTACTTACACAATAAACTGCGACGTATGTAGCGTTCATAACAACGACAGGTATTTTGCAAATTGCATTTTTTTTTCTTTTTTTTATTCAAAATTACATTCTTCGTCAAATTGGGATATACTATGTTGTGCGATACGAATATACACTTTTTTATTCAGTGTCCATGCAGTGGTGTGCATTCTCTTTGTATTAGCACTATCTCGGTTTGTCTTTGAAAGTGTAGTATGAATTGGATTTGTTCTAGATTCACATTAGGTACATGCGGGTATCCAGAAGACATGTATCATTCTGGAATGTCTGGTCCCATCCTAGTACTTTTCAATGGTCGTGTAGACATCTTCTGTTGTTTCATTGATTGCTATAGTTTCAACGAGTATGAGTTTGAATTACTATCTTGTTTATACTTCAGTATTTTCCTGTTGATGTGTAACATGCTACACAAACTTTATAGGTTCGCCTTTCTATTTCATTGTCTTGTCAAGATTATACATATCTCCTTATTTGCCAATTTACGAACCGATCCCAGATAGTTCGTGCTGGAACGTTCAAGACACGCACTTCGATTGGCAAGTAATTCAGGAGCCCTTGCTTGACATCATGTCCTCACACGTTAGAGTTTCACAAAACCAGACATTTCCGTTAAAAAACCGTTGGATAGACACCAACATCCTGAACGTCACTGGGGGGAAGCACCATATGCAAGTTCTTATTAGCCTATCATATTTATTGAGTTAACAATACTATTGAACAGTAGACAATGTCTATATAAGTTTCAGGTTAGCAAGACGTCGACTGTTCGAAATAAATTTGATAAATTAATTTTCATATGTAAGCTATCATAACGGTGGTAATATTAACACGACCCAATGATGTAGGGGAGGTTACTCTTGTATCTGATATCATGAGTGTGGGTTAACGTATTTTTTTTTCATTCCTAGAGATTGAACCTAAATGGTGGGAATCTCAATTATCTAATTACACAGGAACTAAATCACCGACGAAGCTGACCAATGGATCAATGCTGGAAGTATGAATGTGTTCATTTCTTCACGTCTTGTAATTAGATGTACTTATGATTTAGGATGGAATCTCAACATTCTATGTAATGGCTGATGGATTAGTCCCCAGGGGCTGGGACGGACCCTAAGGGGAATTTTGGTAGTGCGAATAATTTACTTTTCTAGACTAGCAATTGATTATATGGTGGGATATCAACTTTTTTTTCTATGTTATGACATAGGGACTAAGTCACCAGGGTCGGAGCTGGACCTATACACCGATCCGAGTAGCATGATCTTGTGTACGTCTCTTCAAGCACGGCAACTTTTATGGGGAAACAATGTTTTCTTGAATTACATGTATATGATACAAGAGAGTCGATATCATTTTTAAAAATTGCAAAAAATATAGTTATGTAGTTCACGAAGATACTTTACATGACATTTCTGACATGAAGAATAAAAGCGAAAACAGAAGAAACAAATGATATCAAAGATGTGTATTTATGATTATAAACCAGAGACATATAAAGCCAGTAGTTCGTCTATGTCTAAACCAACGGTTTTTCCAAATACGCGGCAAAAATATATCGGACATCCACTAGTCACATTTTGGACCATGCTTCTGATTTTGGAAGATATAAAAGTTAAAGGCCTATACGAAAGTGAAATCATAATTTTCAGTTATGTAGTTGTATTTTTCGCCAATACATAATTAGTACATACAAGTAGGGCCGTTTCTACTAGGGCCGTTTTACCCAGGGCCGTTACTTCAGTAATGCCGTTAAATGTGTACACCGAGTGATCTCCCTTCGCTCGTATTTACAGAGGGCGCAGTTATTCGTGTCAGATTGAGTCATGGCGGAGACCACGGTGAGTTGAACTTTAGCCTGTTGAGGACTGTTTACACTTTCATTCCTGTTGTAAACACAAATTTTACCCGAAATTTTCTTACGCTTCTCTTTATATATTATTGAACTATTGGGAGACTTGCTGAGGTTTTAAGGAGTTCAGGGGAGAAAGTGGGTTAGTTTTGTGACCCACCCCCAAATGGCAGTCTGTCATTTCGCAAACCTGAGTCAGTGGGATGAGCTGTGGTGGGTATGATCGAAAAGCTGATCCGATCCGATGTATGCACTAGGAGTTTATCACGTCTGTGTGCTTATTTAAAAACAACTTCTTTCGACTGCTCCTTTATATTGAGTAGCGTTTTGTAACTTATTTATTGTCAAAACCCGTGGTATGTCACATCAGGTTCAGGTAGGCCTATCTTTCAATTAAAAGAAAATAAGCGAAGATAGACATGTGTATTAGTTTCGGTTCACCTTTGAGACAAGATGTTATTGAGTGTTGCTTTGTAATCTTTGTAATGAAATATGAACTATACTGCTAAATGTCAATGCTTACAGGTCACAACAGTAATCATATCATTATTTTTGTTTTATGTTCCATACTTAAATAAAATGCATTGATTTTAATGTTCTATCTTCACTACAGTAGCATTTGCCCTTTTCAGTTGAAAACATTTTTACAAAAGTAGGAACATATGTACATCTGTATATGATTACAGACACATGATTTGTGGTGAAATATTATAGCATTCATTATATTTTTGGGTTTTCATTTGACTTTTAGATTTTCTCAATTTTAGGAAAACATGTAATGAGTTTGGGGAAATATAACAGTTAACATTACAGTACCCAAATCTGGACACTTTTTAGTGAAATATTGATGTATTTCATACAATAGTACTGATCCCAGTAATTTTTGTTCACTTTTCCTAAATAGATATCATTATCTTTTCATTTTGATAACAAGTTGATATCTCTGGCGCGTGGTTCTATAATCATGGTTACGTAATCACCAAACAGGTGTAGCTGTACCCAAATCAGGACACCCCCCCCATCAGTTTTGGCTTATATTTGGAGATGAAAAATAGTATTTAGCAGAACATGGCATATCTTTGGAATATTTAAGAGTCAATGGTCTTTTGAATGAATTTCTTTTCCAAACTACCATTAGTTGTGTAAGGGTAGGATTGGGAAAAATCACATAAAAACATTGAAAATCATTAACGTTGCATGGTGATCAATTTAGAACGTTACATTTTCGTCATTACAAACTAAAACTGTGATTGTAACCATACGTGGCAGTAAATAAAGTTCATATAATGTTTTATTGGTGTACAAGCATCTTTAAATCAATATTTTCAATTTGAAAATACTTCTTTGACAGCATGCAAATTTCTTGCGACTTTTTCCTTCAAGTGTCCCGATTTGGGTACTATGACGGTAGCTTATTAATTCCCTGGGAAAAACGTGTTCCCAAAATTACCAAAATAACAAAAAACACTGGAATCAAGTAACTGTGTGTTTGCTGGACTTAGTAATATAACTTCCTCAAAGGCTTACCATAAGTATACAACTATTGTAATATTGTTATTGAAAACGCAACAAGATATATAAAACTTTACCCTCGTAACTTCATGAACTTGATGCTGAAATTGTTGCCACAGCCAGTTAGTTAGGAATAGCCATGTCAGAAATCAAAATTCTATACCTATCATCATGTATATTATTATGAAGATGTAATATACATGTACCATACAGTTGTCCTGTTATGTACAGTAATTATCTAAAATTCTGTGACCTGTTATTCTATTGTCATGAGTGTCTATGTACTTAGGTAGATAATGTTGTGTGATAATGCAATATTATCTGTATCAGGAAGTTTTGATATTTCTATGATGTTGTAATTAACAAATTTAAAGAGCTTGCAAGTTGTTTACATTAAATACATCTATCTGCATGTGTGACCATTGACTGATGTATACAATTTACATATACTGTTTACATATACAGTATACCATTGATCAGGGAAATAGAATAAAAATGGCAGGGAGATCATAGTGAATAGAGATATTATTATAAGGAGATGGGTATCATAGTTGATATAATAAAGGCACTAGGCGTGGGTAAATGAGGCACATTTAACATTTATGTACTCTCATTTTTAGCTCACCTGGTCCAAAGGACCATGGTGAGCTTATGCGCGTCCATCGTCCGTCCGTCAACTTTTCCTTTAAAACGCTACTACTCATGAACGACTGAGCAGAATTTGACCAAATTTGGTCAAAAGCATCCTTGGGGGAAGGGGAACAAATTTTGTATAAGTGGTGGGTCTGGCCCCCCTGGGGGCTGAGAGGCAGGGCCCAGTAGGGGAAATATAGCAAATTCTTTAAAATCCTTCTTCTTCTGTAGGAATGAAAGGATTTGTTCCATATTTGGTCTGAAGTATCCTTGGGAGAAGGGGAACCAATTTTGTATAAACCATGGGTGTGGCCCCCCAGGGGCTTGAGGGGCAGGGCCCAATAGGGAAAACACAGCAAATTATTCTTTAAAATCCTTCTTCTTCCGTAGGAATATAAGGATTTGGTCCATATTTAGTGTAGGGCATCCTTGGGTAATGGGGGGAACCAATTTTGTATAAACAGTGGGTCTGGCCCCCCTGGGGGCTGAGGGGCGGGGCCCAATAGGGGAAATATAGCAAATTCTTTAAAATCCTTCTTCTTCTGTAGGAATGAAAGGATTTGGTGTGGAGCATCCTTTGGTAAAGGAGAACCAATTTTGTATAAACGGTGGGTGTGGCCCCCCTGGGACCTGAGGGGCGGGGCCCAATAGGGGAAATATAAGTAAAACCTTTATGATCCTTCCTCTACCATAGGGATTAAGGGATATTATCCTAATTTAGTCAGGAGCATCCTTAGGTAAAAGGGACTCAATTTTGTATAAACGTTGTGTCTGACCCCTCTGAAGGCAGAGAGAAGGGGCCCAATAGGGGAAATAGAGGTAAAACCTTTAAAATCCTTCTTCTACCATAGAGATTAAGGGATTTTATCCTAATTTAGTCTAGAGCATCAATGGGCCAAGGGGACTCAATTTTGTATAAGCATGCAGTGGGTGTGGTCTCCCAAGGGGCAGAAGGGCGGCGCCCAATAGGAGAAATAGAGGTAAAACCTTTAAAAACCTTCTTCAACCATCAGGATTATGGGATTTTATCCTTATTTAGTCTGGAGCATCCTTGGGTCAAAGGGACTCAATTTTGTATAATTGGTGGGTATGACCCCCTAGGTTGCATATAGGGGTGGGGCTCTGTTTGAAGTTTGTTCTCGCTATATCTCAAGTACTGGGTGGATCTTTCTGAAATTTCATATGTACTTACAGCACCTACTTCATACCAATTATTTTAAACATATTCAGGTGAGCGATACAGGCCCTCTGGGCCTCTTGTTCCTTCATCAACTGACTTAATATTTTGTCTTTTATTCTCAAACAAAAAAGGGAAGGGCATAAAGCTAGGGGCTTTTCCCTCAAACTTGAATCCCATTTAATTAAGTGGTAGATTGCATTTCAGTATGGTCTTTTTATCATCAGATAGGTCACATGTTCCATTACAGCCTAGTTTTCATTTAGTTAATTACTTGTTTAATTTGAACTGATGAAGTCACAGACCTGTGGCAGATCTAGAAGTTGTCTTAGTTACAAAACCAACTGGAGGATTTCTGGATATAGGAGTAATTAAGATTTGTTATGATAATCATGTAAATTATGTTAATAAAATCCTTGAGGGCTCCCTTATTAGAGCAGGCACCGGCTCATCATTATTTCAAACATATTGACAATTTTGTGCCTGTTCAGTATGGTGTTCTTGGAGTAATTCCACAAGTCAGTTTCAATGTTTCATTTGGTATTTATTGGCAGGTCTACAAATTGTAGATTTACAATTTCTGTTCAATAATCACATTCAGTCTCACTGTCATTGTTGGGTTCCTTCAACATCTAGAAACATGGACCATATTTTGGATCCATTATGTCTGATTATACAACATAAAGATGCTGGCTAACTTCTGATTCCATGGATGCACATTCAAAATTCTTTGACAGTAAATTAAAGCAAGCAATGGGGACTTCCTTTTGCGAAGTTCGACTGCATCACTACCAGAACAGTGTGTCAATACATGAACATAACCACCGTTATAAATGAATAAATATGTTCGAAGTGCTTCTATTATTACTTAATTAAAATTCATAAGTGCTGAAAATAAGAAAAGTAGTGTTGTTCACCACATTTTTTCTAAATTTACTAATTCATCGATGTAGATTCACTGGAACTATATTATCCTAGCAACCATGGCTACCGTAATTACCATCGTAGCAACCCGCTTCAAATGGTTTTTTTTGTGTATAGCATTTGGGCAATATTTTATGATGTAAATAATGCAGGTCAGTCCTTAAATAAATATAATATTGAATTATTTAGATTTGAGCCACTTCAAATGACTGATAAATTGATACAACTTCAAAACTACTGAATAGTTTTAATTATAAAAACTGTCTGAAACTATACATTATGTACATTCAAATGGAATCGGCATTATTCTCTTAATGATAACTATCAATTAGAAATAATACATCAAAACTACAAAACAAAAACACATATCTACATCGGTACATTGGTCATTATCCGATCAATTGAAACAATACGTACATTGTGTCTTCACCAAATATTCTATGATTCACTATAAAACTCTTTCGTAAGTTTTGTTTTCAATTTTATTTTTTTGTTTCAGGCCCGTGCGTTGTACGACTTTGATGGAGATCCAGATAATGGAGAGCTGAGTTTCAGAGGAGGAGATGTTCTTGCAATTATTGCACTGGTAATGTTCTAAATCCTAATAGCTTCACTAATTACACAAAGCATGGTACATGTGACAATTTGTATCCTACTAAACACTCGAGTCATTCTTAATTACAAAGTTTAATATTTGTAGCTGGGTAACACTGTAAATGCAGAGCTTCTGATTATGAAATAAATCACTGAACATTTATATATAATTAGTGTATTAAAATTTGGTGATGCAATTTCAGCAATACAACATTTAGTTATTAAGATAAAATATAAAGTAGTTTCTGTAGCTTTTATGAAAAACTGATTATATATATAATCAGCAGTGTTTTCCTGGTGTAATGATTTGTTTTCCCAATGTTTAACCCCGATTCTCGATCCCCTCCCCACCTCTTGAACCCCAACCCTTAGGGGGAAATTTTTAATATTTCCCATCACTCATGATCATATACTTAACTCATTCCTTCTTATCAGAGGATCATGACAAGCAACTCACATTTACTAGTGGAATTTCCAATTAATTATAAAATAAAGCAGTGTTATCTATATAACTAGTGATAAAAAATCTAGTTCCTAGAATGGTCCCTTCAGATTAAAAATTCATTGTTGCAGATCATGATTACTAGGAAAAAGGGATTACAACTGTTAACGTCTTTTACTGCAGTATCATTGTACTGGTATGTCATAATAAATGCAATTTGCACATATATATTCACATAAAAATATACATGGTAGCATTAAGTATAGCATATAGATATATATATAGTGATAATTTACTTAATTCATTCACCCCTGAAATTTCACAATAGACTATTCCAACCTTTGAAATGGAAGAATTCAAATGTGTCTTCAGGGGTGAATGAGTTAAAAAAGCTTTGCTGGAGTGGATTTTATGAATATTGACACGAGTCTGAATATTTCAATATTAATTCCAAATAGAGTAGCTCTATGTAAGAGGTGCTGTTCAAACCTTTATTCAATTAACTAATCAGTTTTAAAGAATTGTTTAGATATTTTTTTGGTGTGATAGCTAGTGTACATTCCAAGAAAAAGGGATCAGCATTCTTACAAGGATCATTGTAAAGATTTCCATCCAATACCTCAGTATTTACCTGGTTCACAGAACTAATATTATTCCAGAGAGCTAAATTGGTGTCTTATAATTATAAGCTATGTACATTGTATATACTTTTTTTTCTCCATTAGAAATAAAAGTTAAAATAATCTGAATTAGATTTCGAGTTTGGAATTAACTGATATAGATTAACATATATATGTTCTGTTTGACCAATTTATGGTCATTGTTGTCAAACATTCTTTGAACAAGAGGGCCCTGGCCGTGAGTTACATGTCCAATGTACTGTAAACCCATGGCCTGCAGTGTAAACCTGTACCTCATGATCAGGGCCACAGGTGAACATATGTTAACATGCATCATGGCATGCTACGTACATGTATGCCGTGATAACAGATGGGGAAATGAATTCATAATTTTATCACATAACTTGTGTGCAATGAACTTTATAAATATGATATTCCATATCTGATATGTAGTGTTATAGCCATATGTCCTGATTAATATATATATACGCCACTAGAGTGCACTGGGGGAGAAAGATAACATCGCTCTAGTGGTGCCTCTAGGCTCTAGGGCTGTAACGCTATGCCTACTTCACCATCACATGTCCATGGAACATTCCAAGGATTGTTCATTTCAATGCAATATGATACTTTCAACACAATGCTGATAAAAAAAGAAAATTAAACGATACGAAAATCAAAAACAATATTGAAATGTAAATGGAATTTTGAAAAAAAAAAGATTGGTCTTTATGTACCAGACAATATTAAAGAATCACCTAAATGTAAAAACTAACAATGGTTACATATACCACAGCCAATACAAAATGTAATACAATTCCTGAGACTCTCATTACTGCGTGTCAAATATTCAGTCCCATACTCATTGATAAAAGTTAAACTCTCATCCTAAGTATATATGATAGATGTGTATGTAATACACACACAATAGTGTTACCAAGCTTTAGGATACATTCGTACAGTATCACCAGTCCAGAGGTACAAATGTAAGGGGTAGATTTGTCGTGAAACTCAGTCGCCCTAACACATGTCTGATGGTATGATAAACATGCAATAAAATTTTGACAATAACATGGAGGTGTAACCTACAAAGGGCCATACTATGTATACAATGCACTACCATTAAGTACAGTATGGATAATGACAAACAACTCGGCAGGGTTTAGCTTAAGGCAAGGACACATGTAGATTCAATCTCACCTTGCATAACTTCGATCACATCATTGATAAATTGTTCACATTGGTCAGTTTACGTTTGTATACATGGATTGATTTAACTCACAACTTCCAATTACTGAACTTTTCCCTTTATTGTTTATATTTATCAAAGCAAAGAACTTACAAGAACAACATAATGGAATTCCATTCCACCGTGTGACAGTATCTTATTGCATGAAAAGAGAAAAAATAACACCGGGCAAATACAAATATTTTACCAGTAACGGACAGAAGCTTGACAGGGCGAAAGTTGATAGATATATACAATATGTAGAGTAAGCTGATGTAATCACCTGTACCTACATGTACATTGATACCCAAGTGTATGTGTAAAATTGGTCTGAACCATGTGGTGTACATACAGCATGTATCAAAGTTAGTATCACAACTGTTTTCCCTTTTATTTCACAAATACTACTAGATGTTAACACAACAGCCAGCTGCTGTATCAATCATCGGCTGGCCTGGGTTATCTGCATCCCTACACTACATGTTCCAGGAGGAAACCAACTCATTCTTAACTGATCACCGTAGAAAGATAACATGTATCTGTTGATATTTCAAGAGTAAAAAAAAATACTTGCACAGGAAATATGTAAGGTGTACCAGATACACTTTATGAAAGCCTGGTGGAAGAACGAGATATAAATTTTCTCAAATGAGGAATGGATATTCATGTATTTTACAAATACGTTTTTTTTCTAAAACTGTTGCTTTAAAATGTGATTTATGTGATAATTATTAAAATTTTGTTAGAACAATGCTGACCATAAACCAAAACCTACTGGTCTATTCTGTTCTATTTCCTGGCCTGTTGTGAAACTCAAACAAAAGAGCAAGAAAGGTACTCTAATAAAACAGCAGGAAGGATATTGTTTTCAAGTCGCTGTTTGACACTGTTTATCTATGCATAAAGATTCCCAATGGTTGCCCGAAAACATAACTAATGTGCTGTTGAGGAATGTTACAATGCTGATAAACTTTTATTCTGATTGGCTGTTGATGAGCAGTATAATTCTGATTGGCTGTTGATGAGCTGTTTAATTCTGATTGGCTGTTGATGAGCGGTATAATTCTGATTGGCTGTTGATGAGCAGTATAATTCTGATTGGCTGTTGATGAGCAGTATAATTCTGATTTGCTGTTGATGATGAGCGAATAATTCTGATTGGCTCTTGATGAGTGTTATAATTCTGATTGGCTGTTGATGAGTGGTATAATTCTGATTGGCTGTTGATGAGCGGTATAATTCTGATTGGCTGTTGATGAGCGGTATAATTCTGATTGAAGGATCATTTAAGGTTTTGTTATGGAAAGGGTCATTCAAAGTTTTGTTAGAGAAAGCTAATTAAGGGTTATCAAAGTTTTGTCAGTGAAAGGGTTGTTCAAAATTTTGTGATGGAAAGGGTCTGTGAAGGTTTTGTTAGGGAAATGGGTACAATGTAGGTGAAGGTATTGTTAGTGAAAGGGTTAAGTACTGTGTGAGCCCTGTAGACCAGGATCCCTGTATATACAGTGGCAGATGACCTATTGTAGTGTTCATATCAGTGAATGGTGGGAAGCTGACATGATGACATGTGACTCAGCAGCAGTGTGTAACAGGCAGCCAGGGCAGCTATATCCTCTACGTCCTCAGCGACCCTGACAGTTATAAGGGGATGCTCAAGGCTCCACTTCCTGTCAATCTGTGTGTCACTTGTCAGTCTATTATGTCTTGTTTTATATGTTACTATAAACCTTGTTTATATTATAGATCATAATGTTGTTGGCCTACAAACCTAAATGTTCATGTTATTTCAATATTTATTTAGTGATCACTTCTTCAGAACCACCAGTCATCAACATATATTTTAATTACAGTTGTACCTATATATATGTTCAGTGTCACAGGGGTTAGATGTGTTTAAAAACCATATGGCTCAGTCTAAGATTTTACTCACCATAAACAATATAGGTCTATGAAATATAGATTTTTGATAGACCTACTGGGCATGAAATTTCATAGAAGTATATATACTATACTTATAAATGAATCATGCACATCATATATATAGGAAATAACATCGTAGACAACTTGGTCTATGGGGTCATCGATTCCCATAGACCTTCCTGGTGATTGTCTGTAGGAATACTGTTAAATTTGAACCCTGACAACTTCCACAGGATTATTAGGTTGGGAGTTATGGTATTTAGGTTGTACTGAAAAATGGAAGGCAATTGATCAGGAGCTTGCTTCTATGAATAATATATACTGGGGTCGTTCTTTCAAGGTTACAACGGTTAAATGTATTTAAATTAACTTCTACAGAGGGTAGAATAACCCTATATTGTGGGTACTTTATATACACCTACTATAAATATATACATATATACGTATCTATTGACTGACTACTGTATTAAAAACTTTGTCAATTACACATTTAAAGCTGAATGTTGATGCTACAATACTAAATGTGAAGTAGTCTGTTAAATGTAACAAGACTGTACACTTCTACATACAGTAGAACAGTTAATAATAGAACACTGTGTTAGTCGACACACAGGAATCTGGTGATTGTGGCAATTTCATCTGTTCATTACAGAGTCAGTAAATGTTTAACTAGTTATAGGATACACTGTAAATACTAACATTTCCTGATGACCTTCCTGATATTATATTTTATCTATAGTAACCTTCCTTATAACCTTCTTACAATGAGTTTTTATATTTTGTAAATAGTTATTCCTTATATTTCTATATTTCAGGTTAGACGATTCTTATTCATTTTGTTGGTAGACAATATGAAGCTATTGTTTTACAGTTTCAGTATCAGCTGATCATACCTTTGTAATGATATGTATGGACTTGATCAGCTGATACCAGAGTATTCACTCTTTGCTTCCTCACTGATAAAAAGTCTTCATCATGTTTGTTTATTCTGTGATCATGATCGATACGTATACTGGTCTGTTATCTCCAACATTACATGTTACACTGTATATAATCTCACAACAATCATCAATAAGTTTCACTGCACCCATACAGTGCTATACATTTTGTTTGTGAAATACAATTGTATTTTAATAGCCTATTGTAAACCTAGGTGCAATAGTAATGTTAAATTGTCCATGTAATGTGCTATGTCAATGTAACTTCTGAACTTTTGTTTTTTATGGATTTAGATTTGGAAACTTTTAATGTGTTTTTCTGAAGTAGCTATAAGCTAAACAGTTAAGTGTCGCCACATAAGATATTGATCTCAGCTAAATGATTAATGAATTGAAGCATCATCATACCAGAAATTCTAACGGCCTGTTAATATCTATCAGGTTAACTGATTGTACTAAACCTAACTCATTTACCTGCTGAACTGTCTGAGATATGAGATGGATTGGTTTGTGATCAATGTGACAAATATTTCATGTCATTGAATCTAGTAATGAACTGGTGTGACCTGCTGTATTGATTGGTCCTATACCTATATATTTCGGGGTGGGGGGTTACATGTAGATGCAACCTGCTGTATTGAATGGTCCTATACTTATACCCTATATATTTCGGGGTGGGGGGTTACATGTAGATGCAACCTGCTGTATTGATTGGTCCTATATCTATATATTTGGGGGTGGGGGGTTACATGTAGATGCAACCTGCTGTATTGATTGGTCCTATACCTATATATTTCGGGGTGGGGTGTTACATGTAGATGCACCCTTCTGTATTGATTGGTCCTATATCTATATATTTGGGGGTGGGGAGTTACGTGTAGATGCAACCTGCTGTATTGATTGGTCCTATACCTATATATTTTCGGGTGGGGGGTTACATGTAGGTGTGACCTGCTGTATTGATTGGTCAATACAGGTCAATACAGCAGGAATTTATTTTTTTGGGGGGGGATTACATGTAAAGGTCTAAACTCGTACAGCGTTGATAGAAGATATCCAGGATACAGTTCATGTTTCAGTTTTTAAAGGTCGGCTGACTCAGACTACATGTACTATATATCACTCCATTTACCAATACTGTACTAGCCCTAAATAACTAGCTGCTGATTGACCATATGCATTAAACAAAAACAAATAAACATGAAATTAAAAATAAACAAGTATCATTTATACTTCATTTCCTGAAAGTTCAGCTAATTAAGTAAAAAATATGTCAAAAATTTACTACTGAATCAACCTGTCAATCAATCAATTTGAACACCCAACCTAGAATATAATAGTTATATTAATACACATGTATTTGTTTGCCTTAATTCCACTAACCGAAAAGAAACATTCATCCAGAATGTTTGATTGAAAATGTTATGCTATTTTTTTTCATCAGTTATAGACTATAAGCACTGTAGCAAAAGATCATGCAATATCACATGCTTTGTGCCTTAATTTGATGATTGGGTCATATTACAATTTACTGGGCAAACCCATATAAATCTATCGATAGTTACAATGTATAGCCAATATTTTCATACTTGCTATATCTTTTTTTAGGAGGGAAACTTCAATTGTTTTACCTTTTAATCAAGCATTTTCAACCAGTGAATTTGCTAACTTTTTCCTATATTCTAAGATCTAATGAATCCCCCCCCCCCATAGAAATTTCAAAAAGTTGGCAAGTATGTCATGTTGCATGATATTTTTGTGATGTCGTCCTTAGCAATGACTCCTTTGACCTTGTTTTTTTTTCTCTTCTTGCATTCAGTTATGGACAAAGTACTGCAGCTAGGGGCAACTTCATGACATTGACCTTTGACCTTAGCATCAGTGACCTTGTTAAGTTAGTTCTTTAGTGCAGGAGCGACCAGAGCATCTGTGTTGCCAACAAATTTCTATTTGAATTTTGTGCATTTTATGTTATTGATTTTAAATCCCAGGAATTGGTCAGTTGTCTGCTATTTGTTGTTTAGTTATAGAGTTTCTGCTTTAACCGAAACTTTCCTACCTACATGTACCTACAAAAACTTAAAATCCTGTGTGGGGTTTAGTGATAAACCAATTATAATTGCTTGCCTGTATGAATTGTGTGTAGGATATAAAATGAATTTAACTCATTCACCCCTGAAGACACATTTGAACTCTTCCAATTCAAAGGTTGGAATAGTTCATTATGAAATCTCAGGGGTGAATGAGTTAAGGGAGTGCTGGATTAGAACACCCTGTCCTGGTGCAGTATATATGTGACCCGTACAATCGGAACATCAGTGTCAGTTGTAAAGCTTCTCTCTGCAGCACACATCACACATACAATCATGTGTAAATCACAAGATCAATACTTAAGAAGTTACCTCATTCACTCTGTCTTCCCAATGGGTGTTCCAGCCAGAGATCAGATACATCATGTAGATCAAAATATAAAATAGTGGGGATGTCATGTTTCCTAAAAGTAGAGGATAATGGAAGCTTGAAGGGGTCCATAATTTCAAAAAATCAGAAACTCTGCAGGGATTCTGCCTTTTATTTCTGAACATTTTCTTCAGGTTGTTAAGTATGGACTACAGCGTAGCCGAATCGACATCAATTTTGTTGACAACTTGTACATATTTTACACCCTTGTTTTCATACGCTTCACTGGTCATTTGTCTGATGAAGGTGACAATGTACATATCGTACTAGTCATCATAACGTCACATAGACAGTTTTATTGGTGGTGTAAAAAAGAACTTTTCATAATTTTGCCTTTTAATTTGACTTAACAGTGTATCATTGTTTCCTGATTTAACTTTAGCAGTATATAGCATAAATACCTGAGCAGTTTCTAATTGAAAAACATTGACATGTAATTAGTGGTTTGTGGAATGTATTCATAAGAGTGTTTAGAGCTGGAGGTTTATGTATAGAGTGGTATGAGACATATGGTAATTAGAACATAACCAGAACTTATTGAGTATAGATTACCAGGTAAAAGTCACAAGCATGTCCATGTGTGTGCATGTCAGTAGAAAATAAGCAACAGTCAAGAGGTTTTTAAATGTCGTCATTGTATGTAAAATGTATTACAGCACAGACTTAGTATTTGTTATATAATTATGTGTGTACTTTATTCCATAAACTCTGTAGCATTGTAAACAATGGCGATATCTCAAGCCTTTGGAGCAGCCTTCTCACTGCGATAATATTTAGGGTCATATATAATAGGCATCTAATTATGATTTCAGCTTGAGATATGCACTATCAAACCACAAAAAAAAATCCATTAAATTGGTAAACAAATAACACATGTATACGTAGTTAGTTAATTAATTTATGACATGAAAAGGTAGATATCTGTGTCAAAGTTTCGTGTCCGAGGTCATATATAGGAAAAAAAATGTTGCGCATAATACATAAATAGATTTTTTTCAGCATGTTCAGCTCAAAAAAGTACCTGCACAAATTAAGTAGGTGCATAAATTACACTGGTTTTTAGCTCACCTGCCCAAAGGGCAAGCTTCTTAAGAACGAACAGGCCTAGAGTCATGATATTTGGCTGAAAGCTTCATTGGTAGGAGCCTGACAAAGTTTGAGAATGAAAATGACCTTGGCTTACTTTCAAGGTCACAGCAGTCAAATATGTCAAACACTTCAAACGACTTCCGAATAATCTTAGAGCCTAGATTTATAACATTTGACTGGTAGCTTCCTGGGATGGCACCTGACAAAGTCTGAAAATGAAAATAACCTAGATCTCCTTATAAGGTCACAGGGGTCAAATATAGAATCATATAATAATATTTGGCTGGTAGTTTCAACAGATGGAGCCGACAAAGTTTGCGAGTGAAATATTTGTAGTCCAGAACAATGTTTAATGAAAATATTTTGCTATGACTGCTTAAATATTCAGGTGAGCGATACAGGCCCTCTGGGCCTCTTGTTGTGGTAATGGCAAATAGCATGCATTTCATTTTTGGATGTATTTTCAGGATATTGGAGATGGATGGTGGGAAGCCAGGAATGACTTGGGACATCAGGGTTTGGTGCCAGAAGCTTACCTACAGGTACATATACTCGTATAGAACGAACCTGTCTTTTGTACTGGAACCACTTGGTATTGTTCTAAACTGTATGGTTCACAAGTACAAGTACATGTACCTAAAGTCTTAAAGAAAAATGATACTGAGTATGATGCTGACTTTGATCACATTAGATATACGTGTATCTCTATAGGGTGTTATGGTTTATCTTTTGTTTATTAGATAAGTGAGGAACCTCCTGAACCATCCTTTCCCCCTCCCCCACCACCGATGTCTACACCCCCTGTTGGGGGAGACTACCCTGACGACCCTCGGGCAAGTCAGTACTCCACAGGCACAACATCTACAACAAACGGGTACAACAGCCAATACCAGAACACACCTGCCGACATAGGGGGTGGGGACTATCCGGTCGGAGGGGGCTTCACTACACAGCAGAGCACAGATGAGTGGGACGAGGATGAATGGGAGGAGGACGATGACCACTCTTCTACCAGCACAGATCGGGGCACTTCTCAGGTACACATATATAATAATTATATGGCAGTCGTGTGAGGATAAGGGAACATCTACATTAAACATGGTGGCTGTGTAAAAGACTGGGGGGGAGGCATCTCCATTAAACATGGTGACTGTGTCAAGACTACTAGGAAGGGGGGGGGGCATCTCCATTATTCATGGTGGCTGTGAAAAAATAGGGGATCATGTCCATTCATCATGTTGGTGGTGTAAGATTGGGGGGAATCTCCATTATACATGGTGATTAAAAACTAGGGAGGGGGTATGTGGAATATCTCAATTATTCATGGGGGTTGGGGGATATTCATGGGGGGGAGGGGTGCATCTCAGGTAAAGTTGGTTGTTTTCTGAAAATATTTCTTTTTAAGACTGGAAGGGGTGGGGGGTCATCTCCATTATTCATGGAGGTTGGGGCAAATCTCCGGTAAAGTTGGTGGTTTTATGCAAATATTGCAGCTACTTGCAGAAAAGGGGGCACCTCAGATAGCAGTGGTGAGTAAATGCAAACTGGAATGGAATCTCTGTTGTTAAAAATCTACATTGAGCAAGTAGTGTCCATATCTTGAATTTAACTTAAATGACAGACTGAAATATTTCTGGAATGAAACACACAGAGTTAACAATTACTTGTTGTGTCGTTGACGGCGATATATAGGTATTATTTTGTCGCCGTTGTCCGAAACAAGGCTTTCGTGCAATAACTTGAGTTCCCTTGGGTTGATTGAGCTCAAACTTGGTATACATATTGCATACCAATAAAGTTCAGACAAGTTCGCATTTACAAAGTTTACTTGCAATTTTGATGAGTTATGCCCCTTTTATTGCCAAATAAGGGCATTGTGTAGTAAATGCAAGAACTTTTTTATTTATTAATTAATTCCTTTCAAATTTGTACGGTAATGCTAGAAGCAATAATGTTCAACATATATTGCAGGTTTTTCTGTCCAGTTTCAACTCTGCGTTTTGACATATCTGTTTACGCAATAACTCTATAGCCAAAACACTTTTCTTACTAAAAGTGCGGAACAGGCGACACATCCACTCCCGTGGATTTCTTGATTTCTAAAATGATGTTTATAATTGATATCCTTTTGTTCTATTCAGGAATTACATTTACAAGGACAAGGAAACTTCGGTCTTTCTACAGCCAAACGAGAGCCTAAACAAATATCTCCTTCTGGTGATATGTCAAAGTATGGTACAGTGAAGAAAAGCTTTAACAGGTAAAATAAAATCTCTTCACAAAACAACTGTCCCAAAATATATCAACCCCTTTGTCATCTTTATGTTCCTACTCAATCTTCTATTTATATTTAGTATAACAAGACTGAAAATTAAATCATTAATTGATTATGAAGTATTACATATAACAGGAACATAATACAGAATGATCCAATTTAATGAGCTCGAGTTATATTGTTTAAGAAATCAAAGTGTCCTGATTATGAACTTGGCTTACATACCAATGAATATCCATATTGACATTCCTCATTTACTCTGTAGTAACATTAAGTATATTACGTTTGATAGATAACATGTATAGAAGATTAAATACACAGTTTTGAGGGCTATCACTCATCAATGTCCATTTTCTATCCCAATTTATTCCATCTTAAAACCTATTATACATTTTTTCTCTGTAATAGATCAACAAATTTTGTGTTGTTTTCAGATTTTCACATTTTGCTAAAGCTGGTGGTGAGGCGTTTATGATGAGTCAGGTACAGAATGAGAATGTATCGGAAAACGACGTTATCACCATTACAGTAAGTGAATATATTGATACATTGCACGTTTACTGTGAAAGAGTAAACAATGCACACAAGTCTTCAAACAAATGTCACCCTTAATCTGATGTGTGGTTAACAAATCAGGTCACCATTACAACAAAGTGGCATTTTTGTGCTAGAATGATTGAGACTTGAATGATATTTTGATAAATGGAGGTATGAACATATGGTATTGATCAGTTTTGTATGTTAAATGGTCTAGGCCCTAAGTAAGTTAACTGAATTAGTGAATTATTAATTGGAACAATCACCGATGTGAGAGTTCACGTTTGTGTACATTATTGGAATGTTGATAATTTTGTTCTGCATACAGGTAATTCTGAAAAATCTTTTTTTTTTTTTTTTACCTTTTGAAATGTATATTGTGTTGGTTTCTAGATCTGTATATAGGACACTGAAGGTGGTCCTGTGTGGCCCCTACCTACTGACACGTTGATATGTTCAAGTCTGTATTATAATGATTATAGAGAACCGGAGATTGCCCTGTGTGGCCCCTACCTACTGACACGTTAATATGTTCAAGTCTGTATTATAATGATTATAAAGAACCGGAGATGGCCCTGTGTGGCCTCTACCTACTGACATGTTCATCTTTTCAAGTCTGTATTATAATATTATAGAGAACTGGAGATGTTCCTGTGTCCTGGTCCCTTCCTTGTACTACCTAATACATTTATCATTCAAATTCAATATTATGTTGTTTGTAGGAAACTGCAGATGGCCCTGTGTGGCCCTTACCTACTGACACATTCACCTGTGAAGTCGCATCTCCTAAGAAAGAAAGTAAACTAAAAGGTCTTAAGAGTTACATAGCCTACCAGATTACACCGTCGGTGAGTGTTCAGTGAACCTTATACATCCACCAATTTCTTAGTCATTTATCTCAAAGTGACAAAAGTCTTGTTATTATTACACGCCCAAAACTGTAACTAAGTATTGGAAAATAGTGTTTCTGGCACGACTATAGCTTTGATAAATCATTTCTGAAAGTAAAACCATATCTTGTGGGAAGTAGCCTGACCAAATTGTGCTACAGTTATAATCCAAACGGAAGTTAAGGGGAGATAACTGTATATAGATAAAACCACAGTGCATTGGGACAGGGATCCTTAAGGAAAATAGATCTGATTTAATTTAAATAATAAGACATGTGGAAATCAGATAGTGTACAGATGTTCACATTAGACAGGTAAGTACATGAGGTCACAACAGGTAAGTTCTGGGGTCACAATAGACAGATTACAACATAATGAAGATTTGTTTAATTCCATGGAGTTAATATTTAGTGACACTTTTCCCCTTCCCCCCAAAATGTAATTTTCACCTTGCTTAAATTTTGTCATTCACATAAAGCTACTACAGTATGTATATAATGTTGTCTAGATACCTACATGTATATTCGCTGGGTATTTAAAGTTGTCTACTTATATTCGCTGAGTATTTCATTTTGCACTTTCTTTGGTGACTGCAAATATAGCAACAACAAAAAATTGAAATTAACTATCTTTTAAGGATTAACTTGAATATATTTTTCATGTTATGGCGGTTTATTATGAGAGTACACTCCGGTTTTTTGTGTTATAGCTCCATAACATGAAAAATATATTCGAATTAATCCTTATAATTTTATCTACTATACACAATACCTGTGGAAATCCACTTTTATTGATGGACTCTTTTCTCTTAGAAATAATTTGCGCTGCTGTATCAACCAATCAAAAGCGACGTCACAAATGGCGACGCCATTTTTTACGTTATGGACTGATAACATAATTTTTTAAGCTAATTTTTTAATGCTTATTACAAGAAAGATTAAATTATTACAGTTTAACTGGAAAATTAAAACAATTAAGTTGTATGCTGAGTGATAACTTTTGTGAATTTCTGTTCACAGTTCAGTAATATCCAGGTTAGTCGGAGGTATAAACATTTTGACTGGCTCCATGAGAGACTGGAGGAGAAGTTTGCCTGTGTTCCCATCCCACCACTGCCTGACAAGGCCCTATCTGGTATGTCTCCTCTGTATACAGTCTGTGTGTAAATGATTGTACAATGAAACCTGTCCAATCTCACCAGTATGTTTTGTTCTACAGGGTGTCGGATTGAACAGGTATCGCTGTGCTAGACACAATTGACAGGCTCTTACAATTCTACACATTCATCATTTATCAAAAAAAAAACTTTTCCTAAAATTCAGTACATCATAGTTTTCTATTGTGCATCATATATATGTTGTATTGTATCTTATATGACAGCCAGATTAATTGATGATGCACTTTCTAAAACAAGAACAGTATTTAACTTGTCACTGTTGATTCAAGCTTTGGCCTGTCTTATACAGTTGTCCATTATTAATTCCAAAATTGATGGATTTGTTTATACCTCTTCCATATTATGCTTGCCAGAAAAATAACAAAATTTGTAAATTCAAAAGTTAAAATTCATTATAAGTCTACAGTAAGGATGTGGTCCAGCTAGTTGTATACTTATAAGCTGTGACTGGTACATGGCACAGTGTAAGTTGTATACTTATAAGCTGTGACTGGTACATGGCACCGTGTAACGTTTGGCAGATTAATACATACTTGCCACCTTTTTAAAATTTCCATGGGGGAGATTCTGCATTCTCAAAATTAAAACATTGATAAAGTGTGTTTATATACCCTAAAGAGACAAAATAACCCTTAATAAAAATGATGTAGCTGTCAGTATATGTATATGGGTTTGCCCATTAAATTGTATGATGTAGCTGCTGTCAGTAAATGTATATGGGTTTGCCTGGTAAATTGTATGATGTAGCTGCTGTCAGTATATGTATATGGGTTTGCCTGGTAAATTGTATGATTTAGCTGCTGTCAGTATATTTGTATGGGTTTGCCCGGTAAATTGTATGATTTAGCTGCTGTCAGTATATTTATATGGGTTTGCCCGGTAAATTGTATGATGTAGCTGCTGTCAGTATATTTATATGGGTTTGCCCGGTAAATTGTATGATGTAGCTGCTGTCAGTATATTTATATGGGTTTGCCCGGTAAATTGTATGATGTAGCTGCTGTCAGTATATTTATATGGGTTTGCCCGGTAAATTGTATGATGTAGCTGCTGTCAGTATATTTATATGGGTTTGCCCGGTAAATTGTATGATGTAGCTGCTGTCAGTATATTTATATGGGTTTGCCCGGTAAATTGTATGATGTAGCTGCTGTCAGTATATTTATATGGGTTTGCCCGGTAAATTGTATGATGTAGCTGCTGTCAGTATATTTATATGGGTTTGCCCGGTAAATTGTATGATGTAGCTGCTGTCATTATATTTATATGGGTTTGCCTGGTAAATTGTATGATTTAGCTGCTGTCAGTATAGTTATATGGGTTTGCCTGGTAAATTGGATGATGTAGCTGCTGTCAGTATATTTATATGGGTTTGCCCGGTAAATTGTATGACGTAGCTGCTGTCAGTATATGTATATGGGTTTGCCTGGTAAATTAGATGATTTAGCTGCTGTCAGCATATTTATATGGGTTTGCCTGGTGAATTGTATGATTTAGCTGCTGTCACTATAGTTATATGGGTTTGCCTGGTGAATTGTATGATTTAGCTGCTGTCAGTATGTTTATATGGGTTTGCCCGGTAAATTGTATGATGTAGCTGCTGTCAATATATTTATATGCCTATGAACACTGCACTGAGTATAAGTAGTATATGGTCACTAATGTAGTTTTGCTTAACACCATCATTTGGGTTATTTTTACAGAAGAAATTTTAAGAAAAACAATCTATTATATCTTTGTTCATTTTTATTTACATTGATAATTTCATTTAAAACAATGTCTCAATTAAAAAAGTAAAAATATGTCTTAATTTCACTTCATGGATAATAATTTGTGAACCGCTTTGAGACGACCTACGAACTAGGTTGTGATAAAGCGGTATATAAGAACCTCCCATTATTATTATTATTATAAAAATTTAGTTTCATGGTTCATTCCTTTCAGTAGGAATTGGGTCAATTTCTACCACTGGAATGAAAAAAGGTTTGTCAAATTGTGATCATTTTGGGTCGAGACCAACCACACCTACCTGGACACCAATAAAACCCTGCGTAGTCACAGACACTGCACTGAAATTGTATTCATATTTTGGAACTTTTGTGAAACTTTTATACATGTATTTGATTGGTTCAAATCTTGAAGACTAGGTAATATATTGACTGAAACAATCCATTTCTCTGCCTTTATGTGAAAGAAACACTATAAACATATATCTGAATAATCCTGAATTACTAGATACATTTGTTAAATTTATTTTCACAATGATAAAATCACTCATTTTCACAATGAATAACTCACTCAAATTATGATATTGAAAAATTAATTTGATGTATTCATTAAATTTGTACATATCTATAAACACTAAAATAAAAATGATACAGACGGTTGTAATCATAGTGGATATGCAGCCGTAAACAATATTGAATTCTTCACTCCTTTCCTTGTATATGCAACCACAGTTTATATATGTGAACCTTCCCTCTATCACATGGTCCTAGTAGTCCTGTCAACCACAACAGGGCCGGGTACCTCCCCATGTTCACGTTCATGGTCCTGTAGTTCATCAAGCACTGCAGGGCCGGGTACCTCCACATGATCACGTTCATGGCCCTGTAGTTCATCAAGCACTGCAGGGCCGGGTACCTCCCCATGATCACGTTCATGGCCCTGTAGTTCATCAAGCACAGCTGACCTGTTTACCTGTCCCCATCCCCCATTTCTCCCACTGCATCCTACTTGAAACCATTTATATGAGGTGTGCATAAAAGTTTTTCCCATAAAAGTAAACTTAATAGTCTGGGTTTGACCAGGGTTTACTTTTGTACTTGTGTAATTTGATTTGGTTAATTGATGTGCTACGCTACATCAAACAAGGACATATTGTCATGCCTTTTAAAGATAATTATTTCTAAGTCAATCTGTCTTGAACTTTAAGTTTGAATCTCTCCCGAGTCCAGGCCTGTTAAAATAAGACTCTGTATAATGCCGGTATATACTTGCTTGAGTCCGATTCAGATTGGTCAGTGTTGGTGACCTGTAGTGCTTCATACACTGACTCAGTTTGCCGAGTTGATGACAATTCGTATCATCTGTTCTATCATAATGTGACTTCTCTGCAATTAATATGGAATCTTTGCAAACTATGACATGCTCTTTCTGTAATCAATATTATTTTGTCTACCAACATCATATTCTGTCTACAAACGTCATATTCTGTCTACAAACATCATATTCTGTCTACCAACATCATATTCTGTCGGCAAGTATGACATTCTCTCTCTACCAAAACAAAAAACTTGGTAAAATCAGCAAAATTCTTCCTCTGCAACAATGACATTCTCACTGCAGTATCATCACATCTTCTCCTGGCAATCATCACATCCTTTCTCGTCAATTATGATGTCTTCCCTTTACAATATTGATCATGCCATCCTCTTTCTCCAATCATTGGATACTGTCCTTGGTATTAATCTCATTTCTCCTTCCATTGATAGGACGATCTGGTGAGTAGAAGTTCTGAATTTGCTGATATTTGTTGCCTAATGACATAAAAAAGACTGACATTGTAAGGTTTGGGTAATGGTAGCCTTGGGTGATTATTGAGGTACTCTACTATAATTTATTTTAAGATTTAGAAACTAATATACGAAATTAACTGGACTAGTAGATCTATCAAATTTTAATAGGTTTATGTAATACTATGTTTTATTTAGGATTTTAAACTTTCCAATTCATGCAACTGCATTTCTGTGCATGTGAGAAAGGAAAAATGTGCATGTAATTGGATTCAAGGTGTGATGTGAGTTGTGGATTTTTAGCTCTCCTGGTCCAAAGGACCTTTGTGAGCTTGTGCCATACCATGGTGTCTGTCTGTTCATCCATCCGTCAGCCAACAATTTCTTGAAACAACTTCTTCTGATATACAGATAGCCTATCAGGATTAACCTCCAGTCTTTCCACACTTGGGGACTTATAGTTCACAGGTCATAGCATGGAAAAGGTTGATATTCCCCACTTTATAACCTTATACATATTTGCAGGTCATAACATGGAAAAGTTTGATATTCTCCACTTTATAACCATATACACATTTTCTATACATGAAGAAGTCAATACACATAACTATGTATGCTTCCAGGATATGCTCTGGGGTCTGGCCCTGCCCCTTGGAATTAAGTCCCTGGATCATAATATTGAAATGGTTTAGCTCCCTACTCCATTATCACACATTTCAATTGATTGGTATGAAGTGAGGAATGCTACCATGCTATTAGAATTGGCCATGGGTCTAACCCTTACCCTGCAGACTGACTTACAGCATAACTTTTTTTTACTAATATTTTGTCATGATTGTTTTAATATTCAGGTGAGTGATACAGGCCCTGTTGGCCTCTTATCTATATAACTGGGTGTTGTTCTGATATAGTAAGAGGTTTCTCTAATTGTGTGCAGTGTTTTTGGCTGTTTAGTAGTAAACAGTAAACACAAATCTTGATTAGTCATTGTTTTCACTGTGAGAGTGTGTGATTTTGTATTTTCCATCTGTCTACGCCTGACTGGAGCAGCTGTAGGTTCTATATGACATGATGTACTTCAATGATATAGGATCACCAAAGTGCACTGCAGCTTGCCAGAAAAGCGCTTACCATAAATAGGTCACTGTGACCTCTGCCTTTTACTTGATGGCACATTTGATAAAAACTGTAATACTATATATATCTTGAAAAAACTATCTATGCTGTTTCATGTAATATGGAATCATCAATGTTTATTTAGTGTTTCATTTGAAGATGAAAAAATATTTTGCTGAAAAGGTGAAGAATGGGTCACAGAAACTTACTTTTAACAGTTAAAAAACTTTTCTGATAACCCCTGGTGACTTTTAACCATTAGATATTTTTTTTCTGATAATCCCTGGAGATGAAAGTTTGAAATTACAGCCAGAGCAACATAATCATTTGATTACATCTTTCTACTGTCTGTCAGCTTCTAGTAGACAACATGTATTGCTATGAACATCTTCATTTCCTTGTTTGCTTGTATGACATATGAGAGTGTATATATTGAATAACTAATGACCCATAAATGATACAATATATATTAGTCTAGAATAAGGTCTCTGCATGCAAAATTAGATGAACTTTAAGGTCAGTAATTAGCTATTATAAAGATTATAAACTTCACATGCAGATCTTGTATACCTCTTGTAGGATTTTGTTTTTGTTAATTTGTTTGATGCTATGAATATATTTCAGGGTTAATAGATGTCATGTTTAATACTTTTTGGCTGTAGGAAGATACGAAGATGATTTTATTACGGAAAGAATGCACCTTCTGCAGCTATGGATCAACAGAATTGTACGCCATCCCTTGATATCCCGCTCTGATGTCTTCCATCACTTCCTCACCTGTACAAATGAAAAGGTAAATAATAAAACAACATCAATTTGAAACAAAGACATATATAGGGAGGGAAACATTTAGATCAGGGGTTGGATGAGGGAAATATTTAGATCAAGAGGATGGATGAGGGAAACATTTACATCTAGAGGATGGATGAGGGAAACATTTAGATCAAGAGGATGGATATGAGGGTCATATTTTGGATAATTTGGTTATCCACTGTGTTCCTGAAATTTCCTGTTTTATAAGATGTGATTGTGTGCCGGATATTTTCCATTTAACTGCAATAACATTGTAGGGGAACAAAGATATAAAATAACACTGTAGGGGAAGGCTAACTGCAATATGTATTGCAATAACAGAATTGAGATTTAGACACTTTTTAACACTGTGAATTATACTTGCTGTCAATGGGAGAAAAACTAAAAAACCAGCTGAATATTTGTTCCTATGTTTACTGTTATTACTAATTGTGAACTTCTGTTAATGGTATCATTTGTCACTGTAGAAATGGAAAGAAGGGAAGAGAAAAGCTGAAAAGGATGAGTACACCGGTGGAAAATTTTTCCTTCTTCTGAGGACGCCGGTCGCCCAACTGGAGGAAAGGGATGTGTAAGTACACACCTGTATATTTATACATGTTTAACGGGTGAAATGTTCCATCAGTTTGTAGATTTATCGTGTGTCACTAGTGAAATGTTCCATCAGTTTGTAGATTTAGCGTGTGTCACTAGGGAAATGTTCCATCAGTTTGTAGATTTATCGTGTGTCACTGGTGAAATGTTCCATCAGTTTGTAGATTTATCATGTGTCACTAGTGAAAGGTTCCATCAGTTTGTAGATTTATCGTGTGTCACTAGTGAAATGTTCCCTCAGTTTGTAGATTTATCGTGTGTCACTGGTGAAATGTTCCATCAGTTTGTAGATTTATCATGTGTCACTAGTGAAATGTTCCCTCAGTTTGTAGATTTATCGTGTGTCACTGGTGAAATGTTCCATCAGTTTGTAGATTTATCATGTGTCACTGGTGAAGTGAAATGTTCCATCAGTTTGTAGATTTATCGTGTGTCACTAGTGAAATGTTTCATCAGTTTGTAGATTTATCGTGTGTAACTAGTGAAATGTTCCATCAGTTTGTAGATTTAGCGTGTGTCACTAGGGAAATGTTCCATCAGTTTGTAGATTTATCGTGTGTCACTGGTGAAATGTTCCATCAGTTTGTAGATTTATCATGTGTCACTAGTGAAAGGTTCCATCAGTTTGTAGATTTATCGTGTGTCACTAGTGAAATGTTCCATCAGTTTGTAGATTTAGCGTGTGTCACTAGGGAAATGTTCCATCAGTTTGTAGATTTATCGTGTGTAAATAGTGAAATGTTCCATCAGTTTGTAGATTTATCATGTGTCACTAGGGAAGTGAAATGTTCCATCAGTTTGTAGATTTATCGTGTGTTACTGGTGGAATGTTCCATCAGTTTGTAGATTTATTGTGTGTTACTGGTGAAATGTTCCATCAGTTTGTAGATTTATCGTGTGTCGCTAGTGAAATGTTCCATCAGTTTGTAGATTTATCATGTGTCACTAGTGAAAGGTTCCATCAGTTTGTAGATTTATCGTGTGTCACTGGTGAAATGTTCCATCAGTTTGTAGATTTATCGTGTGTTACTGGTGAAATGTTCCATCAGTTTGTAGATTTATTGTGTGTTACTGGTGAAATGTTCCATCAGTTTGTAGATTTATCACATGTATATTGCATGCTATGGTCCATCAGTTTGTCTGTGTTTTTAAACAGTAATTGGATGAAAAAATGATTGGATATATACATAAGATGTAGATGTCTTAGGCTATAGCTTTTAATCATACCTGAAACAGCGATAAAACAACAGCAATTGAACATAACGTCAAACATGTTTTTAAAAATAGCAAAATTGCAGTGAAAACCTATGTTTCTTATTTTTATATATTATTTTGTATTAAAATTTGTATTCACTATCTTTCGGAAAACAATATCTTTCAGGGACAAGACGATGGAAACGTTTTGTAAATTTGTAAAAGGAATGGATGACAACGTTAAGGGCCTTATAACTGTGATGAACGAGAACAGAAAGAAACATCTAGGGCGTGAGTATCACAGCAGTTCCTTAGTTGTGTGTTGGAAATTTATAGACGTAAAGTGTTCCATACTGTAGTTACACCTTTTAATGAGTGTGTGAATTTATCACAGACTGAAAATCTGATAGGTANGGGGGGGGGGGGGGGGGATTGGATGGCTGACTCTTTCCCTGATCTACGAGGAAACTCTGAGATGGAGAAAGAAACGACTACTACACCAGAAAGTATGCAAGGCTGTAAGGTATTCTACCTATAACAGATATAAACCAAGGACACTCATTATTATAAAATTGGTGAAGTTCACACTTAACTTTACTCACAGAGTGTATCAAACCATGATTAGGTATATATGTATTTCTTTAACAGTAGTGTTTTTTGAAACTGTATGATTTCATGAAATTAAATGTTCTTGGGTTTTTCTTAAAATCGTTTCAGATCTTTTGATTTTATGACTTTGTGAAGTTAAAGTTCTTCTTAAAGTTGCTATAGATATTTTATTTCTCCTTTTTTTCAGCTTACAAGCGAGAGTACCAGAAAATTGGTCAATCATTTAAAAATCTAGCTACCACATTTAATCTAGATAACTCTAGTTGTAAGTATTGTTTTTTATGTTAAAACTTGCATTATATTGATAGTTTTGCTGTGTGAGGTTAGGCTCAGACCTACCTGCAATTTCAATGATAGATAGAAAACATCTAACAGACATACAGATGTATGATCAATAGACAATGTGCTGTAATGTCTGTCCAGTGTGGTTATATATATAATTACTTACACTTGTACATGTTGATGTGGTATTGAAACATGACACATACACTACACAGGGTGCACTTACATAAAACACAGACACACTTAAAACATACATGTAAATTCACACATGTATAACATATACACACACATTACCCATAAGGCATATCAGAGATATCATAGAAGCATCAACAATAATAGATTGTTTATATTTATGATGTGTAAATATTTATGGAAAAGGGGACAATAAGATTAATTTTGTAGCTGAAGTAAAAATTTAAAAATAAATAAATATACATGAGAAAAGTGCTGATACATTTGGGGCAAGGCTGGTTGTGAAAAAAACATTTTAACACCATTTATACTTCATACACAGGTATATCCATACTTCATATCAGGAATTGTGTTTTAGCATAAAGGAATTTTGTTGTTTTACAGTTTCGGGTAGATTGACAGCAGCAATAGACTACACAGGTGACACATACAACCAGATAGGAGATATGTTTGAGAAACAGGTACACAAAAGTTTAGAATCCTTAAGAAGAATCAGATGTAGAATATCCTGAATAAAAAGTTTCCTCATGATCAAAGTATTAGAATTTTCATTACTTAAAAACTCAATATTGAAATAAATATATCAGCGTCTTTTTAAAAAAAACATTGCATTGTTACCTTTGCATTTAACTTGGTACATTGAAAGTGTTATATAAGAAAACTGACAGCGAAAATTTTGAGGGTTGTCTACTTTAAAATGTTTTGAAGTGAACTGACTATAATTTGATTGTATGTTGTTTGATCAGCCAAGGGCGGACCTTGATCCCGTGTTAGATGTTCTCTATGAATACAAGGGGATACTCAGCACCTTCCCAGACGTCCTCAAGATACACGAGGTACGCATGTCAGTGTTATCAGATCCCAGTAAATCCTGGTTCTAATTCTCCAAAAACTTCAAGCTAAGAATGTTAAGTCAATATATACACACAAGTGACAATATAACTTAACAATTAATTCAAAAATTAAAATAAAATGTTTGTTTGTCTGAAATTATGTGTCCAAAACTTGTTAAATTGTCAGCTTCTTAATTGGCAGAATGATTCCAAATATATTTTTAACTTTAAAATATATAAAGAGTATTCACAGTTGAATCTATGAAAGTATTTGTTCACACAGAGAACTGTTGACATGTGAAACAAAATGCAACCTACCATTGAATGGACAATTTGAGCATGTTATAGATGAACACTAGAAAAATCAACTGCAAAAATATTGTTAAAGAAAAAATAAAGCTTTGAAATAAAAAATCATCATAATTATTATAATTACAGATACATGTTTTTATATTATGAGAGGACAGTCATAGGATTGTCAATCCTGTACATATTTAAAATATAGTGTCAGAATAAATCCGTGTATCTGTGTATATCTATCTATTCCTTGCTATATATTGGAACAGGGTGCTGTTGGTCGAGCGAAGGAGTGTAAGAAGGAACAAGATGAGGGTAAAATGTCGGAGAGTGATGTACAGAAAGTGGTGAACAAAGCCGACATCATAACCTACGGTACGATGGCCCAGATGTCACACTTCCAGGCGGAACGGGTACAGGACTACAAGGCCATGATGCAAAAATACCTTAAAGAACAAATACAATTTTATAGAAATGTGAGTCAGTATATTTAAAATACCATACAGAGCAAATAACATTTGATAGAAATGCAATTCATATACATTGTGTAATATTTACAGAGAGAAAAAGACATTTTTGATATTAGATACACAAAATGGGTTGTTTTATTTGCTTTAAAATTTCAGAAAATGTTTTCTATGTTGAAAATGTTATTTTAAAAAGGAACATGAAAATAATATCTGTGTATGTGTGTGTAATAATCACCATGACAAGATTTGAAAGAAGTGACTAAAGTTGATATCATAAGCTCCAGTATCGTTAAGGTTTTACTAGACAAGTATTTTTCTATTTATTTAAAAGATATACCAAACACTTCAAAGTTGTGATATTTATATTTCATTATCAATAATTATAGTGATTATATGATCGATCTCTCTTTTTCAGATAACACAACAACTTGAAGAGACTCTTGTGAAATTTGAAGATGCATAGCAGTGTTAGGTTAATGTTCAGTGTTTGTCTTATGTGCTTGTTATAAACAAAGTGCTGGCAGTCCACAGTCAAATAGTTCTTGTACAAGTCTTCAGTTCTCTGTGACCTTGACAAAGTGCTGACAGTCCACAGTCAAATAGTTCATGTACAAGTCTTCTGTTCTCTGTGACCTCAACAAAGTGCTGACAGTCCACAGTCACATAGTTCTTGTACAAGTCTTCTGTTCTCTGTGACCTTGACAAAGTGCTGACAGTCCACAGTCACATAGTTCTTGTACAAGTCTTCAGTTCTCTGTGACCTCAACAAAGTGCTGGCAGTCCACAGTCA